GGTTTGGTCCTTTGACTCTTCTATTTGAATTTCTATCAGTTCGCCATGGGGCTCAAGGTCGCTCCCTCTCGGCCTTTTCTCACTTGTCATTGGTCTCTTGCCCTCTTTGACCTCAGCTCGTTGATTGGTTTTGACTGCGATTTGGTAGCATGTTCTTGACAACTTTTGATCTCCTCGAGCTTCTCCCACTCGATCTCCTACGGGAAACTTCAGCTTCATGTGATAGGTCGACACAACTGCTTGAAATGCGTTGAGCGCTGGTCTCCCCAAAATCATGTTATAAGCCGACTCGACATCCACGACAACAAATCTCACCATTTTGACTTTCCTTAAGTCACCTTCCCCTAGGACGACAGCGAGCATGGTTTCTCCTAGGGGAGCGACTTCTGAGCCGTTGAATCCGAAGAGTGATGTATGTAGGGGCGTAAGTTCAATGTCAAGCTCCATCCTTCTGAGGCATTCATAGAAAATTACGTTCACGGAACTCCCGGTGTCGACAAACACCCTTTGCACCTCGTACCCCGATATCTGCGCCGTTATCATCAGGGCATCGTTATGCGGCCTCTCGACTTCACCCACATCTGCCGGTCCAAAGTTCATTACTGGTCCACTTTCCTCGACCTGCTGCACCTCGAATTTCGCATATCGGCCTCGAGCATAGGCCTTTCTTGCCCGATTGGAGTCTCCATCAGTCGACCCTCCGAAAATCATGTTAATGACTCCTCTTTTTGGTGGGAGTTCCTCCTTTTCTGGCGATCTCGCCCTCTTGCGAGGACTCTTACTTCGTTCTCGTCTCCTGCTCGTCCTCTCTCGGTCCTTGTATATAAACTCCTTCAAGTGGCCCGCCTTTATCAACCTCTCAATTTCGTCTTTCAAGTGTCGACAGTCGTCAGTGTTGTGCCCATAGTCTTTGTGGAATCGACAGTATAGGTTGCTTTTGGGCTTCAGAGGTCCATCTTTCCTCGTCCGCGGCCATCTTACCACATCGTCGCGGATTTCCCTCTCCATAACTTCCAGAATTCTCGCATGGGGAGCCGACAAAGGTGTGTATTGAGTTGGTCTCCATCCCCTAGACCTGCCTTCACCCCTATCAGCCCTCGGGGATCCCCTTCTATCTCCTGTCGACTGGCCCTTCTTTTTCTTCTTGTCGTCTCGACTGTCGGTTTGAGACATCTTCACGCTTTGCAAGTAGTCGGCTTCGGCCTCCTCGACATTCATGTATTTGGCACATCTGCCCAGCACATCGTCGAAACTCCTACCAGGTCGTTTGGCCAAGGAGTTCTTACACAATCCTGGTAGCAGTCCTCTCGTCAATCCTCCCGATTTGATTTCCTCTGTCGCTGTTGGGCATTCGACGCACGCCTTGGTAAACCTTGCCACATACTCCCGCAACGACTCGCCCTTCTTCTGTTGCATGCTAATCAACGAGAGGTAAGATTTCTCTTGCACCCTCACACTTGCAAATTGGTTAAGGAAACTCGAGCTAAAACTGTCAAAATCTCTAATCGACCCGGCCGGTAATTGATGAAACCAGTCCTGGGCCGACTCTGTCAGAGTCGTCAAGAAAGAGCGACATTGCACGGGGTCGCTGTAGCGATGCAGTACTGCCATATTTTCAAAACTCCTCAGATGTCGAGATGGATCTGTGGTACCGTCATACCATATGTTCAACTCCCTGAAGCCTTTGGGTAAGTCGGCTCTTAGGATTTGCTGTGAGAATGGGTGTTCTTTTGCTCCTCTGCTCCCGTCGACTCGAGCTTGCAAGTCGCGAACCTGTGCCAGCAGTTGCTCTAACGTCTCGTCCCTCGCCTGCGGGTTAACAGTTCGAATGGAGGATTCCTCTTCATCTACCCTTCTGTTCTGTTGTACATTCGACTGGGCTTGTTGCTCACCACGCGGCTGCTGCTCGACTCGAGGGGGGTACTCGACGCGGGGCTGGTGCTCGACTCGAGGTGGGCACTCGACCCGAGGCTGCTGTTCTACCGGCGCTATCTACTTCATCTGGGCCGCCACGGCTTCAGCAATCATCTTTTGCATCTCACTCCTCGTCATTGTCAGAGTCTGTTCCTCGACGCGGGGTTGTGTCTGTTCCGGAACCTCCTGTATCTGTTTTCCCTCGCGTCGAGAGACCTCCGTTGGCTCCTTCTCCCCATCTGGGTTAGGGTTTTGACTTGTTCCTGCCTGAGTCAACACTTGTAGCTTCACGCCGGTTGGAGTCACAGGCGTTTCTCCGCCCAACGCCAGTCCTGGTGGTGGAAGTCCTCCAAAAGGTGGCATTCCCATCATCTGCATTACGGGGTGTTTGGTGGTGGAGAGCGGCGGTGTCCTCTTGTCCATCCACGTCCCTCTAAACTCCTCGCTCAAGTTCCTCTGCAAGCCTTCCTTCTCCGCCATCAGCAAACAGATCGGAGCTGGGTGTGAAGCTCTTCCTTCCTTTAAGAACTCCCCACAGACGGCGCCAAATGATGGGTCTACTTCCAGATCTGGAGTAAACCGGTTGTTGTGAGCTCAGATCTGCTTGAACCGCTTCCCAACCGTTGCTAGACCGCGAGATTCCTGCAAAAACTCAACGCCGGAGGTGTTTCCGGCGTAGAGCCTCCGACGCTCAAGTCAGTATGAGAGTGATGAAGAGATGTTGCGCAGCAGCTATGAGGGAGAGTGGGAATGAATGAGAGTCAGGGTTTTGGGTTACCTCATCTCCTTTATATAGGAGGGAATACTTACTTGTAATGCCCAAAATGCCCCAGTCGGTGGACCTAGAAGGTCCATAATGCCCTGGTCGATTCGTCTCCCCTTGTTGCTGAGTCATCGCAAGATTCCTTCTTATCCTTGGTAATATGTAGAGCTTTGGATATGTTGCAAGTGTGGTGAATCGTCTTCACCACTTTGATCCTCGAGATGTACAGAGTCGACCTCGAGAACTAGGAGGTCGACTTACAAATATGCGGTTTCGGAGGCTACACCTGGTTTAATTCCCTGCGGTGGTCGTCTCTTTAGAGTCGTCATGAGGAAGTCGACTAGTGGAAGTCGACCTAGAGTATCTGGATGGTTGGGAGTTGCATTCTTGATGTCCTTCTAGTATGAAGTCGACTAGCAAAAGTCGATAGTCAGAGGTCGACTTGTGGGAGTCGACTAGACCCATTTCTGCCTCTTGATTGTTTTTGGTAGAATCGACTTCAGGGAAGTCGACTTGAGCATGTCGACGAGTCACCTCGATATGTGAGTCGTTCGAATGGCTCGAGTAGGAAGCCTCTCAGACCGGGTTATCCTTATGTGACTATATCAGACTTTATAAGACTTTTAAAAATCCTGGGGTATTTAATTGGGATTTTAAAAGTCCTACAAAATCATGAGTGATATGACACATAGGAGTAGCTAGGTAAAACCAGACGGTATAACTCGGTTTGTGAACTGGAGTTGATATGATACATAAGACTAGCTCGACTTTATGGACTGGGATTAGCTAGAATAATGGGTTGGGAAGACAGGTCATCCACAATAGTTACCCAGCCCGTTTAGAGTATTAATAGCTCGGCCTATCTAGAACAATGACAACTTGGCTTAGTAAGAGCACTAACAGTTTGGACCGGTGAGAGCTCGGCACTTTGAGTAGCTCGGACAATGGAAGCAGCTCGGAACAATCAAGAGGGCTCGTGGTGGCCATAGCTCGGTATGTTTAGAACGTGATGTAAGGAACTGGGTGTTCCGTAAATACTAGCTGGCTTGTAAGGAACTGGGTGTTGAAACAGAATAACAGTTATGAAAAAGGTCCTTGTGGGACACGTGTAGAGTCAGGATCGAAAAGGGATATAGCGATCTGACGGACGAAGCACAAAGCGTACAGGGACAACTCCATAAAAATAGGTAAATTGGGAAAAATGATAAGGATGATCACACTCTACAAACCATAAACACTACATACAGTAACATACAGCTTTCCTCTACCCTTTACTGACTTGAGCGTCGGAGGTTTAACGTCGAGAGCCCCTTCCCGCGCCTTTGCAGGTCCCCGGGAGCAAGCGGTTGAGGATCAGTGGAATGTCGGTTCGAAGATGTGTTCGTTCCCGCGTCTTTGCAGGTCTTCGGCGAGCAAGCGGTCGAGGATCAGTGGAAGGCCGGTTCGAGGTGCAAGAACACATCAATGAGGTATTTAATTTATTTGACACTAGGATTTGTTAAGACTTTTTAAGATTTGGTGGAATTTCTAAACAAAAAACATTATACGAAATCCCACTTCAAATCCTAACTCAAAACTTAAGATTTCATAGAATTCCTCCCAAATCTAAAAATATTAAAAAGTCTCAAATCTTGAAAAATTTTAAAATGTCACTTAAAATCCCAATTGAATACACCCCTAAGTGGATTTGCGTGTATTTACTCAGCAATTATAGAGGATTTGACGCATTTATGATTAAGAAAACCCTTTACACTAAAGAATAAGTTACTAAATCTTGTATAAACAAGAAATCCTACTTACTTTCTAGATTTATGCTTTGAATTAATTCTTCCTAGTTATGATCATTTCGTGATGGAGCTAATAGTTCGACCATATCACAACATCCTATTGGAATCATCTGAAAAAACTAAGTGCCATTGCCAATGTAGCAAGTGTTTTGAGTTCAAAGATACATCCTATTGGAATCATCTGAAAAAACTAAGTGCCATTGCCAATGTAGCAAGTGTTTTGAGTTCAAAGATACATGATGATTACTAGTAATGTACATTGGTTCATTACGCACCAGATTAAGCCAAATTAGTAAAAAGTGCATTAACTAGTACTGCTACTAATCACACTAGTAACATGGCACTCCATACCCATTACGAGAAACTTAAATGGACAAACACAAGAACAGATTGCTTTATATAACAGATCAAGAACCCCATTTTTAATCACCACATGAAAAAAACCAGCACAAACATTTATTCAATATACACACACATAGAAAGACTCCCAGTTCTACAAACATGGCACAAACTTGAAAACATTTATTAATTATGANAAAAAAAGAGATTAATAAGCTGCTGCTTCTGCTAGTGCACTTGAACTTCCCTAACATCCTTGTTTACCCTCTCTCTTTTAGGCACAACAACACAGAGCACCCCATCTTTCATCTCAGCTTTGATCTCTTCGACTTTAGAATCTTCCGGAAGAACAATGCTGGTGTCGTAATACCCATAGCTACTCGACCACCCTTCATCATCCTTCTCTTCCTCCTCTTTGTGCTCCCCTCTTATGTGTAAAACTCCTCCATCCTCCACCATTATCTTCACATCTTCCTTCCCTAATCCCGGCATTTTGTACTTGAGACTGTAGCTTTCCTCGTGCTCTTTTAACTGCCACGGGGACAAATTCTCCATCACTCGCGCCATGTTCTCTGTTGCTTCCACCAATCCACGAGGGAACAACTCTGCATCATAACCGTTTTCAATAAAAACATAACACATAAATTACTTGTAAATGCATCTCAACATCAAACAATCTTCCAAATTACCAATCACCAATTCACTTGTTTCATTACATTTTCACCTTTTAACTTTAATTGTACTAATCAATACAACAATTCATTGGTAGTGTATAGAAAAAGGAGAGAAAAGAGATGAACGAACGAGAGACATTGAAGAGAATCGTGTTATAATCGAATGCAGAACAGTAATTTAGTGGAGAAAAATTAAATTAGAATATAGCAGCAAGTTCTTTTTTATTTTAGCCTGGCCATAAATTTGATTCGAATCAGTTCCCCATGAGCCAACTACTTAGTTAGGTGACACATCTCGAAATTATATAAATTTACACGTTTTAAAATTTTATATAGAAATTATTTGGATTACCCCAGAGTGCAGGAACGAAATCGCGATTGTTTCTCCTCCAAAGGTTCCCCCTACGGCTCCTCCGCCTTGGCAGGAGCTTTGACTTTTTGCCGCCGTCGGCCACCGCCACATCCACAGCTGAGCTTGACTTCTCCTCCTCCGGCGCGGAGGAGAGCCGCCGCAGAAGTTGAGGAAAACCCCAGCTCCTCTGTTGCAGCGCGGGAATGCTTCGGGTAGGGTACGACGCCGTTTGCTGCAAGTTTTTCACAACCCAACGAGCCAAGGCCATTACTATGTTGGAAAATCACTGTTCTTTTGTGTTTATGTTACGACACTGTTTTTGTTGGAAGTCGAGTTTTCGTGGAATTTAAAGAAAAAGGGGGGCGGTGGCAAAAGTGAGGAGAAACCACGCGAGGCTTCAAGTAGATTATGTAATTATTATGAGATGCTCGGAAAGTCGGAATTTTGAAGAGTGTTCGAGAGGATTATTATTGGTACAATCTATCTATATATGAAAAAGAGAGGTGAATAAATTATTTATTTAAACTTTTAAAAAATTGGTCAACAACACAATTAACTTAAATTATTTATAGAAATTTTTAAAAAATTGATCAACAACACTATTGACTTCTGATTTGTGGAAACCAATTATAAATTCCAAAAATTATTAAACATTATCTTTATTTTATTTTTGTTTTGAATCATTCCAAAAAATGTTACTTAGCCGTTTATTAAGGCATACATATCTGTTAATTGCCATTCATTCCGATTACATATCTGTTTTTTAGGCAATCAAATAGATATCTCCATGTTTATTAAGGCATACATATCTGTTAATTGCCATTCATTCCGATTACATATCTGTTTTTTAGGCAATCAAATAGATATCTCCATATTCACACGTTAATTTTATTTCCTCATTTTTAGGCAATCAAATAGATACCTCCATATTATTTGCCAATATTTTCACGCGTCATCTGATCTAATTTGATCCGGATTCAAATTGATTCAAGCAGAGATTCTTCTAAAATAAAAATGAATTCAAATTCGAGTCCCTTGAGAGCGAGAGATACAGATGCAGGGTGTACATTGCGAGCGTGGACGATCTGAGTTTCTCGAGTATTTCGAGCTGCGATTTAGAGTTTTCAATCCCTCTCGTAAATCAAGAAACCAAGTTCAAGAATTGATCTTTTTTCCTTTTTTTTTTTTCTTCAAAAAATTTCATTCTACTTTATCCTCAGCAACCCAAGTTCCGACGGGATATTGCAAACGCTACCATCAGATTGAGGAAACAAAGTCCTCTGAATAACCCCAGAAGGAGAAGACATAGCTGTCCTGTAACGCCCCACTTTTATTTACCGAAAATCAGAATAAATTTTTCAAAATTTATTTCAAAATACTCATTTAAGGCGCTACTCATTTTCGAACATCAATACTTATCCAACTTTCCAATATTCAATCAATTATCAAACTCAATCATCATTCAATAATACTAACTCCCAAACGGGTTTTCCAAAAATCCATAAATCACCCAAACCGGGTTCCAACATTATTCAAGTCATAAAATCCCAAAATACTCCAAGTTCGTAGTCATAAAATCCAGAATTCATTAATGCGGAAGCATAACAAAAACATGACCGGTCTTACAGACCGACCACCACTCGCTCTACTCCGCCATCGTGCCTGCCTCGCTTAACCTGAAACGTGAATTTCAGGTGGAGATGAGCACAGTTGGAAAAAGTAGTGCTCACCACTATGCAGTAAACATTATTCACAATAATGAAACAGTAATCATTAATCAATAAGGTATGGTCGCAGCATGTATTCAAATCAATTATTTATCCCATCTCCTATCCCAGAGTCAACCCTCATGTGCACACCTACGCATAGGCTACTGCTGATACTCGATTCGAATGCCAAAACCTACGCCTTGGTCTTACAACGATGCCCAGCCAGTAGGAGTAATCCACCCCGCCCGGCCAAGACCTACGAATTGGTCTTACAAAGTGGAGATCACCAGCCGTGGCCTACGCCCCGGTCTTACGGCCATACATAACATATTTAAAGGAGACTACCCATCGGGTACGTTCTATAGTCACGGGGATAACCGTTCGACGGCCGGTACAGCTCACATCGAAGGCTACATAGTTCCATATGCATACTTTGATCATACCGTAATTAAAACAGTAATAACATTTAAGGCATAGCAATTTTAGAATAACAACCCACCTGGATATAACAAGAGGTATAGCCAACCACAGAGTTGAAGAAATTATGGCACAAGTTCAGCTCGACGAACTACAACAATTATAATAGCCTATCACTGACTATCCAATATACAATACCACACAAGGCACATATACTTAGTCGAAATCATATCGACTAAGCGACTCGTGGATTCCTTGACCGAGTTAAGTACTTTGGAGTGACTACTAGACCTGGACAAAACTCATATACCTCAAATATTTCACATAAAACATGCCAACATTAAATATATCCTATCCGAACCTAACCAACCGATAACTGAACATTAAGACTCTAAAATAAACAAAATTCAGAATCAGGAGTTAGGCTTAGTCATTCAACCTGAAACTTTACCACATTATAAGGCATATAAAAACACATAAACTCACCAAGTTTCAGCCCTAAATTCATCCGGGAGCATTTTTAAATAATTTTTAAGCAAAACAGCGTCAAAATCGGCATATAATAGTTCGCATAGCTACACTCCGAGTTTCAGTCTGAAATTTTTACACAACCTAAAAAATCATAAAATAACAGGTTCCTAAAGGTTTCAGCTCAAAACTCCAAGTGTACGATTTTTAATGAATTTTACAAGTTTCTGCTCAGAAACCGTTTTAAGCATTTGAACTCGAAAAACACAAAAATAAATTCAGGGGCTTGGCGCAAATATTCCACATACTCAGAGACACAACATATCAAAAATTTAGCTCAAACAAATAACAACTCGATTTATGGTGAATTTATTACGATTCAGCAGCATGCTCGGTTTAGAAAAATCATAACTCCCTACATACAACTCGAAACGACCTCAACCCAAAACTAACAGATCACGGACAACTCCAAGTACCTCTAACTCCAGGATTTCCACGAAACATACCACATTACAATCAGCTCGACAATAATTCAAAGTGACGGCAATCACTTTGATATCTAATTTACATAAATATAATATAATTATCACAATTCTCATTCAATAATAATCCTTCAACACATATTAACACATATTATTCGAGATATCACGTTAACGAACACGTTCACATATTCGAGCACATAAAATATCACGTAAAATAAACGAGACGGGTCAAGCCTTGTACCGTTCTCGGGAATCGATAAAAAACGGAACGAAAGGTTGACAATCTCGAACACGCAACACGTCTCACGAGAGGACAGCGGCCCGACCGAAGGGGGTGGTTGCTGCGTGCTCCCAGTTCACCGGAGATGGCCGCCGAACTCGCCGGAGGGAATGGTCGACGGCTTGCAGCGATGAAGGCTTTTCGGAGTTCGTCGGGTTGCTGCTTGGCCTGTTCGTGAACGGAACGCTGCCGGAAGAAGGCTGGTCGCGGCGGTGGAGTTGCTACAACGTCGTGAACGGGACTCGCCGGAATTCGCGAGGTTGCTGCGGTGGTGGCTCGTGGTCGCGGATGTTGCTGGACTTCGTCAAAAGTGGCCGTCGGGGTCGCCGCTGGTCCGTGGTGGTTCCCGGCGAGGGGGCAGCGATGAAGTTCGGAGATGGTGGTGGTGCGATTGGATTTGCAGCGATGATGGTGAAGGGATGACGATGAGGATGGGATCGATCAAATATTACGAGAGAATCTCTCTTCCCTGCTCAACACTAGCGATCGAAAGCAAAGGAGAAAGAGGCTGCGAGAGGGTTTCTGATTTTTGAGAACGTGAAAAAGAAAGGAGCTCTCTCTCAATATATATATATATATATATACATATATGTATAGGTTAAATGTCTTGCCCAAAAAGACACACATACGCGGGTTGGGCTCGGACTTGGGCCGGATTATCGGGCTCGCGGATTCGGTTCAATGAAACGAATCGGCTCTCGAGCCCGACTACGTAGAAGTAATACAGACTACGTAGAAGTAATACAGTTTTCTGGGGCTCGATAAATTAAACCGCACAATTAAATAAACCAACCAAACATATATAATATATATTGATAATACACAAAAATTTCATTTTTTTTTTAAAATAATAATAATATTAGTAAAAATACAAATACACATTTTAATAAATTAATAACACTTAGACAATTAGGAAATTAATTAATATTTAGACAATTAAGCAATCTGACAAATAAATCATATTAGACATTTAAATAATTTTAACATTCAACAAATAATAATAACAATAAATAAGATAAATAATAATAATAATAAATAAATTCTCAAAATTCCATAATTCAAACGGGGCATTACATGTCCCGGGCCCATTAACAGAATCGTGAGGCGAAGTCGGGTTCTGTCCCAAGGCCTCCACAAGCGGGCCGCCAGGCCCAAACGGCTCGGAATAACAAACTAGGCCAGACCATTGAACACCATTTCTCATCCCACCATTTCCAATTTCTTGATCTAAGGTGGGCCGACCAACAGATGTCTCCTGTAATTTGTCGAGGTGGAAAACTGAAGCGAAAAAAATTAGCCGAGAGCAGCCACGATTTGCGCAGGGTGGACTGTAGAAGGAGAACCCAAACGAGGTCGATTCTGCTGGTGTTTTTGCTGTGTTTTTTTACTCTCTTTTAACTTTTCCAGTTCACTCTTTCGTGTTTAGCAGATATTGAACCTATTAGTATTTCGTTATTTGTTTTCTGATAAGCATTACATTCCTGTAAAATATGTTGTTTTCAGATCCTACCTAATTTTTTTATCTTCTCAGGGTTGTCGTTCAATTACGCATGAGGTGGGTCGCTGCCTAAGATTCAAAACTCGAAGACTAATAGGTTTTTGTTTTGCCCTATGTCTTTGGTTTCTTTGTTGTTGGACAAGTTCAACTCTATTTTGTCTCTTCACATACTATCAACTATAAAAGACCATTGTTCCTGAGTATTTGTTGACTTACCATATAAATATATGGATTTTGTGTTTATATATTGTGTTATGTTGTGACAATTAGTGGGTTTATAATTGTTCAATTGTCACTAGAATTTGTTTATGTTGGTCATGATTTGATTCTTGCTGCTAATCCACAATTATCTTAATTGGTTTGAAGAATGATTTTGAGTGGGAGATAACTTTGATAAGGTGAAATACAGTTCGTCTTTTAGCTCCTCTTTGTGATTTTGCTATTGTTAAAAAAAAAATTGGTTTATTTCTGTATCCCAAAATATGTTAATCATGTAAGCATGGATTGATTCAGGTGATGGGTGAAAAATATTCTTGCTACTAATGTATGTTGTTCTGTAAAAATATTCAAACAATAATTTATTAATCTTTTTTTTTTCACCTTTTCTATGGTGAGAGGTGTTTGAAGTGGAGTTCTTTGAGAGTGGAGTGTTGTTGGCGTGAAGTTGGAGTGTTGTCGGCGTGAAGTTGGAGTGTTGTCGGCGTGAAGTTTTTAGTGGCCGACTGGGAAAGATTGCCTGGATTTGGTATTGGAGAACAACTAGCCAGAATGTGTGGTCTACTTGCTATTGCAATAAACGAGAAGAGGGTTTTAGTTACCGGTTACTATAACAGAGCCGATCATGACGGTTGCAAAGGTAGTATATTAGTGTCACATTTTGTTCAAAGTATTTAAATTGTATTTTCTTAGTTGAACGACTTAAGATATTCAAACGGCTCTCTCTCTCTCTCTCTAGGGTCATCACTTTCGAGTTGGTCCTGTTACTTTTTCCAGACCTCACTCGAGTGCAGAAAATGAGCCTACGAGCTTGTGCACGACAAGGCAGCATGGCAGACAGGTGTTATTACAGGAAAAGAGAACTATACTTCAAAAGACATATGGTCCAGGAGGATACCTAGGTATGATTAACGTTTTACGTGTGAGTAGATAAATCTTTCTTAAAAGGGCTATATGTCGTGACACTTTTTCAGAGTATGGGGTAGTTCTTGGAGTAGCATGCAACCAACCACCGAGATTAACAGGACCTTGATTGTTCGTCATCGGAAAATGGATCGTAGATGGTGGTAAGGTCAGGTGAAGTGCGACTTTATTGATAAAGATTCGAGTTTCTTATTTAAAAAAAAAAAGGACAAAAATGAGTGAAAATAAATCTATATCATCTGCTTTAGGCTATACGGTACCTAATGAGGTATCAGAACGAGTACACGTGCGGCATTATGAACAAGGTCCGCCACAGTGCCTTTGGACGTGAAGCTGCAAAAATGGTTCTCGAGTTATCCTCCGAGGTTCAGCTCACCATTATTGCCTTTAATTTGAATTTTGGCTTATTAAGATACACATAGCTCCACTTGCTGATCAACTTAATCTTGGATAAATGACAAAAATATGTTTGGTTATTATTTGTAGTGTTATATCTATTATTTGCAGAATCTGAGAAGAACTGAGCATGATATAGAAAAATTCGTGTGGTCTAATCACAACCTCTGGCTCCCTCGGCCGTTGTTGAGCATGCACGTCAGGATGGGAGACAAGGCGTGTGAGATGACCTTTTCAGATTTGAAGAATAATGCGTTTAGCGAACAAAGTCCGGGCGCGCTTCCCGCACTTCAAGAATGTGTGGCTTTCTACCGAAATGCAGGTCGCGTAAAATTCGTAACTTTTTTTCTTTTGGAATCCGAGATAAAATTAATTATCTGTTGATTAAAAAATTGGATCTGACTCATTGAAGTTCATTAGGATGTGATTGATAGATCTAAATCCTACGAGTGGCACCAGAAATGTTACTACACGAACGTGAGGCAATAAACGGGGAATATGTTGATGGCAGCTTACGAATCGAGCCTCGGTCGAGATACGAGCAGTAATTACCCACTTGTGAACTTCTTGATGGCGACAGAGGCTGATTTCTTCATAGGTGCATTGGGTTCGACGTGGTGCTTTCTGATAGATGGGATGTGAAACACGGTGGGAAAGTCATATCCGATTACTTGAGCATGAACAAAGACAGATTTTGGTAGCACTATCACTATGCATATAGCAAAATTGTCGAGCAAATGGATGAAGAACATGTATGTATCAGATGATCTCACATGAAGATAATCCAAATAATAGAGATTTGTAAGTTACTATGTTAAGTTCTTATGTTTATGTTGTAAATAATGGAATAAAGAGGTTGGTTGGTAATCACGGTTTATGTTTTTTTAACATGTTAACGGGTACTTTTGAGCAGATTGTGAATAGTAATTTGGGTCTTTTGCCAGTCATGAGCAAAATAATTTTGGACTTCCTAAAAAAGAAGGCATAAAAATTAGAAAAATAAAATCCATTGTATTCCTTTAATTTCAAAAACTGATTCTTAAGATATAAAAGGAATATAAAAGGAATACATATACATGCATTACGAAACTAAAATAATTATAATTTTGAAAACACAATTTTATCCTAAATAAATTATATTCATTTTTTTTTTCAAATTAGTTTCCTATTGCATCGATATCAATCCAAACTTGATATGTAATGACTTAAAATTCTTTAGCAAATTTAACACGATATAGCAAAATTTAATTAATTTGATACGTGTTGGCTTCAATCTTAATCCAAACTTGATATGTATTGACTTAAAAATTCTTTAGCAAATTTAACACGAAATAGCAAAATTTAATTAACTTGATACGTGTTGGCTTCAAATTCTTTATGATTTTAAACTCAAAATAACAGAAAAATCCTGATTTAGAATTTTTTAAGTATGGACTTCATTTAATTAACTTGATACATATTGAGTCAGTTTCTTTACATATTTGAGATTGAAATAATAGAAATACATCTATTTTGTATTTGCATATGTAAGATCAAAATAATAGAAATATCTCTATTTCATATTTTAGTAATTATGGACCCTGTTTAATGGAGTCATGAATAAACTAAGAGTGCATTTTTTAAATACTTTTTCTGCTATTCATTCATATATATCAAGTTCCCATTTTTAAATATATACACATACTCATAATTTTTTTTTCTTAAATCCATGTGATAAACATTGTTCATTAATCTCAATTTTCATAACCCAAATTTGCGGAATAATAGAATGCAAAAAACAATTTTATCATTTTGAACGTCTTACACACCTAAAAAATGGACAAAATAACTCAAAATTTCAAATTTTAAATATTTTTTATTCTATCTTATCAAGTTGAACGTATGAATCATAATATTGCATTATCACCTTATCATCTTAAACGTCTATATCATTTATATTTGTCTATAAAAGAATTGTTCCCTTCGATTTTCTAATTCACTATCACAACACAGTGATCTAATATCAGCAGAAAGAAGAAAAAAATAAATAATACAAAAAATGACTGTTGTGGGGGTATATCAAGCATATCACTAAGACCAACAGAGATCAATTTTTGAATCGTGCGCCTCTTCTTAAAGACATCTAAATATTCATCATACAAGAACGTTCTCGAATATTCATTATACAAGAAACTAACAATGGAAAGGTAGATTGTCAATTTTTTTTTCTTAGCCATTTTCTTTTATTAATATTAGACGCAATTTTTATCAATGAAGTTATTTTTATGCTACTTACAATTTATTATACTATCTAAAATTTCTTATTGGGCTAGATCGGATAAGAAGAGGTTTCACCTATTGAAGGTTATAAAAAATAGCGAAAGAGTACTTGGTGACACTTCTAATGCAAAATGCACCTAATGGAATTCTTAGATGATGAGCCTAGATTTGTTGTTCAATCTGCCACTGACTTAAAGGGAAGGGTAAAGGTCGACGAGCATGATGATCAAATGAAGGATACTTTCGATAAAGATTAAAGCTATTAGGTCATTTTTATAGTAGAATATTACTTGAATTTATTTTTTTAATAAGTAGTTTGATTGAATAATATTGGCAGATGCCAATTACGCTTGCTTTTAATACTTATTAAATTTGGATATTAGTTTGTTTATAAAATTTGGAAGTTGATGTCTAAGCAATAGAATAGTTTTAACTTATTGACAAATACATATACATATATGCATGTCATATAATTAGAATAAGCAAATACAGATTCTATAACTAAGCTACATCAAATTAATAACAAGATACCACAAATATATCACTGAACAACCGCAAAGGTAGTATGAATTAACCTAAACTATTACTGTTTAAATAATTTGTACTATTCATTTTAAAAATAATTATAATATATCTAAATTTTTATATTTAAAATCATAAAATAAACCTTGCTTTATTTGATACAAATATGTTGCAGTTACTTTTAATAAAACTGTACAAATAAACAATCATTTCGATAGATGAAAGGTGTTGAAAACATTAGTTTGTGGGAGCGACGAATTCCCCAAGAATCTAACTAATAATGTTGTGTACAATGAGTTTTCAATACTATATATATTTTTTATCTCGAACCTTTTATAATTGGATAACTGCGCTGTGTATGATAACTTTTATTGTCGAATAGCCTTTAATTTATAAAATCTCATAAATAAATATAGCCCGTGCATCGCATGAGTTACGCACCAGTATCCGTGCATTACACGGGTGATTGTTAAGAAATTAATTTTAAATTTTAAAATGAATGAGAAAATTATTTTAAAATCCACTTACTTTTTCACAAAAAAAATATATTATTGTATATTTTATAATGACACTTGTTACTTGTGCGACTTACATGTTATATCATAGTAATTTTTATAACTTATATAATATAACTACTTGAAATATAAATATATTATATGATAAATAATTTTATTTTTTTATTAATATTAAAAAATAATTTTATTATTTTTATAAAGATAAATATAATTTTTTATACATACAATATGAATGTTAAATCGAAGATCATCAAGAGATGATTAATTTGATATATTATATATATAAAACTGATAAAAAAATACAAAAGTTATTAACTTTTAAAATACATTTACAATTGAATGGTTATTGTTTGTCCTATTTTTGTTGCGTTTTTCGTGTTTATTTTATCTTTCTTTTTCTCCCGTTTTAGGTCGTTTCTTTAGTTTTTAGTCCGTTTTGTGTTTTATTATGTGTTTTCCTTCATTTTGAGTCTTTAGGTATTTTTTCGTTTGTTTTCCCAGTTTTCTTCGTGTTTTGTCGTTTTTGGTGTGTAGGTCGGGAGCTTCGGGCGAATTTTATCTTCAAGAAAAGTTGATTTCGAGAGCACAATTGGATAGATGGGTTCGTTAGTGACGCATAGCAAAAAACGGAACTCAATTCCGAGTTCGGATGAGCCCAAACGAGCCCGAAACGTAAAATGGCGCAGTGCAGTCCAAAGTCGCGACTCGCGAGACGAAGTGACTTTAACAGAGCCTCCGACCAGCTGCGCGACCCCACAACCCGTCCGACTCGCGAGTCGCGACCTGTTCGACCCTGTTTTTATTTTTCTCCGTTTTTACTCGTTTTAGCTCCGTTTTTCGAGCTCTATATATGAAAACGAACCCCCAGACCTAAGGAACAATCCCCAATATCGTTCCTTTCAATTTTTCTCTCCAAAAACTCAATATTGTTAGGATAAATTTCTCAACTTTCTTTTTTTTTTTTCTCTCATGCTTGGATTGTTGGACACAAAGTTATTTGGATTGAAATCTTGCAACTCTTAATCCGATTGTAAGTTTTTTAATTCTATTTTATTATTGTTGATTGGTTTTATGTTCTTAATTCCGGTTAACATGAAATTGAATCTAAGCATGAGGTAATCCATTTACCTAGGGTTAGGGATTTTGATTCTTGTTTTGAATTATGAGGAATGTGTTTTGTTCAATCTATACGAGTTGTGTGAATTATATGGTTAGTTGATTGATCACCATTCTAACCTAGTTAATCGACGTTTAGAACCGAAAGGGGAGACGTCGGTCGATTTAGGCTCGTATAGAGTAGACATGTTCGTAAAAGTATTGTCTATGTGTTGCTTGTTTGAATGAATTTATCGTTTATGTTTGTGCTCTTGTTACGAAGAGTTATTGAGCATAGCCCTCTAGACGTGTAGGCTTGTTTAATCTCGTAACCGAACAAATAAGCGTTCAACATAGTTTAAGACTTGATGAGATTTCCCGACCCTTAGACCTTCTTCTTTTTCTCTAGAAATTTAATTGTTATTTCTTTAAATTGTTTTTCTAGTTCTAGATTGTTTTAGTTGATTCCCCAAATCAATCGTGATTAGAGTGTTTAGTACTTATTTTCTTTTCGTGTGTGATCAAGACCAACGCTAAATTCCGAACCGTCTTCCTCGAGAGATCGACCCGGGGAACGAATCTTTTGATTCGGTACTCGGTAAAAACATAAAAAATTTGCTACAACAGTTATAATAAAAAATGATATTAAAATGCAATTAATACATGTATCATGACTAAATAATCAACATATTTATAGATATTCCGAACGTAATTATTTTTGGATTAGAAGTAAATTAAAATCTACCCCAGCCTAATAACGAAGCATGTAACTTTGCCACATAGAATCCCGAAGCATGCGAGCCTGTCACTTAGGCTTAGCACATTCGAATTAATATATAGGAAGGATAGGAAGGATAGTATTTTTTAACCCACTTAAATAACCGTATTAAGTTTTTCACAGTCCATTAATCTCTTTTTAAATTTATTTATGTTTTTTACTATTATATTCAAATTATTAAATTGTTAGTTTAAGAGTTTTCGATGCTCGAATCGTTAAGTATAATATTTAGGCCTGAGAATATATAGTCACAATTTTCGGGTCTTGAATTGATAGAGTTTGTCGTTGAAACTTTGATTTTCTAGTTGATCCATCTTTTAAAACATAACTCATAAACTACCATTAATTTTTTGTAGTTTTCTAATAGAGAAAATGAATATATGAATATTGATCCATCTTTTATAGTTTTTGTATAGTTTACACAAACCCAATTTTCGCTTCTGCCCTAGTTTCTTCTCACATCAGCCGCGCTTTCTTTATCTTCTCCGGCTGCCCTCCTCAGTGGTAGCTGGGCCCTCTGCCAGAGGGCGGCTCTTTTCCGCACTGTCTCGGTCTCGATGCGCGCCCCTCCGAGTCTACCTAGTGCCGATGGTAGCGGGCGAACTTCATTGGCCAGTTTTTCTCCGCTTCTGGTGTCGGTTAGGGGCTCTGAATGTTCGTCTCCTTGGTGCAGCAGTGGGGCTAGGCGGAGTGCGGCATTAGATATTAGAAGTGGCTTGGGTGGCCTGTGTTTTGTTCGTGGCGGGCGTTGGGGCTGAGGAGCTTCCTCTGTTTCCCTCTCCCAATGGATTCTGGTGTGGGGGTCCAACTGGGGGCGGTGCTAAGGCCTCGGCTAGTGGTGTTAGACGGGGTCGGCGTAGCCGTGGTGTGGGGGCTGAGGTTGGAGCTCCTTCGGCAGGGTGCTCTCGTATGAGTACCCGCGGTTGATGGTTTAGGGAAAGACCTTCTCTTCAGCAAGTTAAGATGCAAGAACGATGTGTCCGGTTTGGCTTCGGGATGGGCCTGTGGCTCGGGTTCAACTTCAGTTAAGCGGTTCTGGCAGTTTTGGGAGCGGTTCCTCGGGCTGCGGGTTTTTCCTGCGGGGTCCACTGTGTATCCACCGGTGCTTTGTTCTGGGCTCGATTTGCTGCTGGGGAAGGACTGTGTTTACTCGTTTAGGTTTTGTTTGTTTTAGTTTGTCTTGTTGTGTTCGTTGTTGTTTAGGACTTATGTTTTTTGTTTCGGCCGTTGGTCTCAGTGAGCCCGAATGTGAGCGGGTATTATTCTGATGGGATCTTTCATTCTCCTTTTGGGAATTTTGTAGTATTTGTTGTGTTGTGTGTGTTGTCGAGTGGTTTCTATCGTTGCTAGCTTCAGTTTCTAGGCGATCTTCGGATCTTTCCTCTCAATTTTTTCAGCTGTTAGTTGTATCATACAGTCATTCAGCTAGGGGCTTTATCTTTGCACATTTATATGTTTTATTTATAAAAATCTATATCGTTTCGAAAAATAAAAATATATAGATTTTTATTCTTGAGTCAATAATCTGCATAATTAGTCGACAGATAACCCACTAATTTATCATTTTGACTCATTTATTTTATGCTTCATGTTGGTGTACCCAACCAATTTTAAATTTAAAAAAAAAATGTTCAAACCTATATAAAAAATATATAAAATTAATTTTTACATTATTTTACGTTAATTTATTTACATAATATATGTTTATAGTTTATTTGTAATCTGCCTTTGAGGAAATTATTCTTTTTATATTGATGTTAATATCTAATAATTAGCTTATTTGATATTAACAAAATTATTATTCGTTTCGTAGATGGGATACGGTGTTGAATAAAAAATTATTGATAAATAATAATTTGACATGTTATTTACAAAATCAGTGATAAATAAACAAAGTTAACAAACCTTTATTTAAAAGATACGAATAATCAATTTTAAAATTTAGAAAAAGAATTAATATTTAACTCAATATAATGAGAAGGTAAAAATCATATATAATATACAAATGTTTAGTTAACATTGTAAAATACTTTATATCTTATACTTAACGCAAATGACATTAGAAAGGAAAATAAACTTCCAATTTCAATTTGTAAAACGAGGAGAAAAATATTCATCCAAATAATTATGTTATATCAATAATGAATATCGGCACAAATATATTTATTTTAAGTCCAAGANAAAAAAAAAAAAAAAAAAAAAAAAAAGAAAAAAAAAATAATAAATAAATACCTTGTTAACCATGTATATAAGACGAATTGACGGGAATGCCACCCTTAATTTTTGGTACGTTTATATACAACATTATTCCTTATTTTGCATCAATTTTTAATATAATCATATATGAGACAATTGTTTTACCAAGTCAAAAGCATTTTTTTTTTCCCACGACAATTAAATTATATTAGCAGAAACTCATGACAATGTACATCCGGAGACCCAAATGGGTGCTTACAACATAGGGATAGAGAACACAGTCCTACCCCTTCAACAAACCGCACATACTGACCACATCTAAGCATTAAAAGCAAAAGAAATAGAAGAGAAGGAGTCCATGAGGGTAATAATATCCTCAGCTATAACATTACAACAGACATCAAAATGAATTAGTCAAAAGCATTTTGAGTATGATAAATTTCGTAAATTATATTATTGTAGCTTCAATTATCGGGATCTGCAAATCTTCATTCAAAAGATCTGTTGTTGTATGAAATTTAACAACTCAAATAAACAAAAGCAAGCTGTAATTAAAAGGAAAACAATGTAAATTTTTTATTTATTGTCAGTTTATCAATAGTACAGGAAGTCGGTTTTAGTATGAAAACCGAGTTGTTTTTGTTCGTCCGTGTACAATGTGCATAAAAGGATCCCCGTATAATCATAAATTCTGCTATTTATAGTGCATCGGTTTTGACTTTTCATACGAGGTAGATCAAATCGCATTTAATGTTGAGCTGCTTCAATTAAGCGGTTTGTAAGGTGACGGGGGGACAACAATGATTACTTTTTTGATTAAGTGGTCCAATCAAGAGTATGTTGCGTCTCCTGCTTTGGAATCCGATCATCTCGGATCTTGGTTTAAATGGATATTCTTCAGTAGAGAATGTTTGCGATGTTGGTTCTCCCATCTTTTGTGTGAAGTCGGTTTACACCCGAAATCTGTGAGGTCGGTCGTGATTTATTTACGCCAAGCTGGGCTAAGCTAGCCACAGAAGATAAATTTGAAGAATTATTTAGAAGATAACATAATTAATCCTTCCTTTAATCTCGAAAAATCAAGTCGGTCGTCAACAGAGAGGCCCCCGACATTAGTAGGTATTTTGAATTAGAATGGTTGTTGATGTCGTTAGCATTTTTTTTATAAATCCAACTTGATTTCATTCCGACGTGCTTGTGTTAACCGACATATTTTTTGTAACCGGCACACGAATACTTCGTGTTGTTGATCTTTCATTGACGAAGGATAAATGCCGTATAACGGCTTTGTTGACGTGGTAGTTCCCAAAAGACGTGTCTGCATTTAATGGGTACAACGGGTAGAAATAATAGGGCGACGTGGTGTTTTGGAATTGGTCCACGTATATTAATGATCATTGAAGCGTTACGTCGTTTGAGGACACGTCCGTTACATGCGCCGATTCCCAATTGTTCAACGGTTATAATCTGTAGATTATAAATTTGAGTCGGTTTCAATAATGAAGGGTTTCTCATCTTTAATTGCTGAATTCTTCATCTCCTTCTCCATCTTGTCTTTAAATTCTTTGAATTCGTTTCTAATTATCATATTCGCGACTAATTTCTCATCCTTGCGAGTTTAGGGCACTAAAGTACTTGGTAAGATTTTGCCCTAATTTTCAGTTCTTTGTTTGTGTCGATTGAAATTTCTCTTCTGTTCTCTTTTCTTCTTTTTTTATCAATCTCGAAAAATGGTATCTCAAGCCGAAGCTAGTAGCAGTCGTACGATTTCAGAGGTTAGAATCTTCACCGATGAGGATTTGGAAATGCCTATTGAATATTATCGGTGGGATCCTCTGCTTGTCGAAAGACTCAATTTGAATAGAGATATAGTTAAAGAAGATCAAATCGTTTAGAATAGTGCTACGTCTCTTGCGGAGTATTGGAGACATCCCGCACGTCGGTGTCCTGAAGCAATTGACGAGAACCGAGGTGAACCAAGCATTTTAATTGATGCCGACGTCGTACTCCTTCGCGAGGAAGTTCAAGTTCCTTCGATTATTGGTGATTTAACTGATGCTGACGTCGTACTCCTTCGCGAGGAAGCATTTTAACTGATGTCGACTCTCTGAGATCAGGCTTGAGGTTTCCACTCCTTGTACTGATTACCGACTACTTGCGAGACTGGGGTCTCGGTTTGTGCCAGATTGCGCCAAATAGTTGGAAAAGGATTATAGGTCTTATGGTCTTGTTGAAGGAGAACAAGTGGGATATGCCGACTGTCGAAGAGATAAGGAGCCTCTTTACTTTTAAGAGATGTGTTGATAGGCAGGTGGCAGATCCTTTGATATGCTTTTCAAGTTCAGGGAGACCTCAAGGAGGGTTGAAAATTGGTGATTTAATCACTGAGATTCCGGATTCTCTTCATGGTTTTCAAGAAGAGTGGTAGTGGGTTGGCGGTGATTTGGCAAACCCCGAATTTTTCCAAACCTTTGATTACTGGGATGTCCATCCCTATTGAAGTTAATTCCGCTTATTGTAAGTTTTCTGTTCTTTACACCGAGTTATTTTGACTTCTTTTTAATTTTGTACTAACAGGTCGGCACTTTTACTATTTGCAGCCCGTAGAACAAAAGAGCTAAAACTCGGTGAGGAATTGAAAGACATGATAACTGAGCTATTCAAGCTAAAGAAAGAGCAACGTGGCTTCAAACTTGTTCTGAAGAGTTCGAGATTAGAAGTTGCTGGTCTTTGTTCTACCGTCTCTGATCCTTACTTTGCTCCAGGTACATTCATTGTTTTCATTGTTTTTGAAGTCGAATAATCATAAAGGTTATTGTAACTCGAGTGAATTTATTTGTCTGCAGTATATTACCCGCTTCTTGGAGTTCTCAGATTCAAGAATATAAGAGACGCCAAAGTTTTCTTGATCTTCGAACAAAAGTCGGAAAAAGCAAAGTGCAGTGTTTATCCGAGATGGGTCGTAAGAGGTTGGCAAAGTCGTTCTTGAAGAACCCAATTATGAATGTTGATGTCGATGTCGGAGATGGTGCGACGTCGGGAGCTGCCGTGGAAGTTGTGCAGCCAAATCCTTTGGCTATAGCGATTACGGGTCCAATAGCGGCCATAGCTACCGCAGCAATTAACCAAACCGAACCAGAACCAGCTTTAGAGGCTGTTCAGACAGAGATTCGACCAATTATTGAAGTGGTCAGATGAAACCGAGGTCGATCGAAATGTCGTAGAAGAACAAGAAGCTCCTTTGACAAGGCGAAAGAAAAGACGTGCTGAGGTCGTTCATGTTGTTGCTGAAGAACGATCATAGAAGAAGCACAATATTGGTCTTTCTGAGAAAAAAAAAAAAAAGAAGAATGAACCTCTTGTTGATAGGTCCTTCTTAAATATTGATGAAGAACGGGCTGAGAACTTTAGGCAGCCCAGAGAGAGTGTTGAGAAGTGGTTTTCGGCTTTTTAGTCGGTCGAAATTCCGAATATTCCTTGTGAGACCGAGCTTCTGAGCCATGTAATTGATGCAGCTCGAGTCCCAATGATGGTGTGGGATTCGAGAACCGAGATCGGCGTTTCTTCAATGTGGAGTGTTTACAAATTTAATTATGCCAAACCGTGTCTCGG